TGCTTTAAAGCAAGTGTTGCAACAATTTCCAAAACTGATGCAGGCCCTCAAGAGCGAATTGTCCAATTCATCAATTGGTTGGACTTCCGTAGCTGGTAGTTCACTGTCCACGGATCGGCACATCAGTGTTAGCATTACTCCGTTTCAGCTTGATATGCATGAACCAGCCAATTTGCATTGGTGGTGAAATGTGTGCGAAGATATTTCCTCTTTGAATCTCGCATCATACGATGATGCATGAAAAGTCCAGTCTCACTTCTGTTAACTCGAATTTGTCCTTCATGGTCACTACACGAATTCCATTCTACCAAAGAAGCCATCAAGCCTCAGCTTGGGAGAAACGGTCAAGAGTTTATCACAGAATTTTCACGACCAGTGTTCATTGTTCAATGCTCGAATCTGATATTTTTCGGCACTCCTAGTGAGGGTCTGACGACTTCATCACTCACACATGCTGGTGATAATTTTCACGAATGCAATCATTTTGAGTAAAGATTCCCATTGAACGGAAAACTATAGAAATGGTTTTCCAACTGAAACCCTGGATTACCCTCAGATAATCGGAGCCGTTTTCATGTGATGCTACAGGTGACTGGTGCAGTTTGCAAACGGAGTGCACTATTCGATTTTTGCTTTGCACGGGACCGCATTTAAGCTTGTTTCAGAAGGCAATACACTATTCACATTGACCTACAAACACAACAGCAACAGCCATATTAAGTCGCGTGCCAGAAATGGAGCGTGATTTTGTGAAGTCGTGTGAAGTGTTTGACGAGCTGACCCTAGAAGAAAATGATAAGTTCGTTGCCTATGTTCAGTCAATAGTTGACGGGCAAGTCGAGTAGGTATGTGCCAAACTGCGAAAACGCGTCAACCCTACCAAACCGAATGGTGAGTTCCCTTCAGATCCGAAATGATTTGTCCATAAATTGTCGTCTGTAAGTCTGGATAAGACATTACTTGAGGTGCTCTCCTCAGGATCAAATTTTGCTGTCCAACCAGTAAAACTAAAAAAATTGGACATGGAGGTTGAGTTTGAGAGCCTATTTGATCTACTATCCGGTCTCGTTCCGTCCTCCTCACAGGAGTTAGAGAAGCTCAAATCCACACTTGTGAACGCGTGTGATTAATATCGTGAAAATAAACCGTCGACGAAAGGATTATTAATGTTAAAGCATCTGAACTGTCTCAAAGAATTGCAGGCAAACGGAGAAACAGCGTTGTTAAGACCAGATAAAAGAATCGGGTATTGTAATCCATAATAAATCGGATTATATAGAGAAGATGAAGACGACATTGAATGAGGTTGCCAAATTAACAAAGATTCCAACTGAAAAAGACAGGACGATTCCGACAGAAAAGTCAATTTTTACGAGAGTGAAATCATTGAAACAGAAAGGTATGATCGATGCGGTAACCTTTGAAAAGATACAACCAACTGGGATGACGATTCCTAGGCTGCGCGGCCTACCGGAGGTACAAAAAGAAGGTGTCCCCTCGAGACCAATTTTGGATATGTGCAACTCGCCGTATCACGCAGTAGCGAAGTGGTTGGCCACATTGTTGGAACCAGTAAGAGTCATGATTTCCAGACACAGCTTACGAGATATATTTCATTTTGTAAAGACTATGAGTGATCTAGATTCGGAAGGCAAACAAATGATCTCCCTTGACGTTACCTCACTGTTCACAAATATCCTGATCGCCGAAACAATCAACTATCTATGTAAATACATGCAGAAGAACAGTATCGATCCGGGCATCTCGTTGGATGAACTGAAACAGTTAGTATTTGTCTGCACTCATAATATCCAGTTCCAGTTCAACGGTGAAATATATCGTCAGAAGGACGGGGTGGCAATGGGATCACCTTTGGGACCCTTATTTGCTCATATTTTCATGGCAAAACTTGAAACTAACCAACTCAAGTCAACAATCGAAGGGTGCACCTTATACAAATGATACGTGGACGATATCGTATGTGTAGTAGGTACCAAGTTGATCCAAATGTACTAATTAACAGATTTAACGCAGCCCGTCCAAATGTTCAATTCACTTTGGAACAAGAAAAGGAAAACAATCTATCGTACCTAGATGTTTGTGTAAGCTGTCGAAGTGATGGTTCCGTTCAGTTGTCAGTGCATAGGAAAGTAACTTGGAATGGCCAATACGTTCATTTTCACAGTTCCGTACCACTCAAAGTGAAAAGAAATTTAGTACGTTGCTTTCTTAACATAGCAAGGAAAATCTGCACGGAGGACATAATAGGAAATGAACTTCGTTTTCTAAGGAGTTTTTTCTTAGAAAACGGCTATCCTGAACGGTTCATTGACAAGACGATGCAATGACACGAATATAGGCCAAGACAGACAGTAGTCGAAAGGAAGCCCGTATATGTCCGTTTACCAGTCAAAGGAGATACGGAAACTGAAGTTAGTCAACGAAGACTAACAGGAGCAGTCAGTAGAACATTCTACGATGCACGACTACAAATTATGTTCGAGTTCAAACCGATCGTGTGTTTTCGACTGGAGGATAGAGTGCCAAATTCTGCAGCATCTTTTTGTGTATATTCATTCACCTGTTACTGTGAAACCAGGTACGTTGGCCGCACGACCAGGCGCTTATCCGAACGTGTTCGTGAACACCACCCGGCTTGGTTGAACACGAGCAATTAAGACAAATACGAGTGCTGTGTGTTCACACCTTGTTGAGTTAAACCATTCCGTAGAGGTGGTAAACGCTTTTCGCACCATTTACAAACTCCGGGCCGAGCAATCAAGACTTGTCAAGTGTCACATCTTAGCCACAGCCAGGGCCGTGAGCACTCGATTCCACAATCCTCCCCTGTGTGCTCAGGATCAATTTGTGCAAGCACGAAGTTCCATGGCCCAATTCTTGTGCCCGAACACGTGTGCAATCATTCGAACGTTCTTCACTCTGATCAATTTCACATGCACACACACGCGTGCACACACAGATTTGCATGATCGATCCATTTGTTTCTTCGAGTCATATTTAATCCTATGTATTGGTATGAGTAAGAATAACTGAAAGACGAACTTGTTCGCTACACTGTTGTGTTCTCAAATATGAAAAGACTCGAACTGTTTTACCATTCACTTCAGGAATGAAATGGTAACGAAATAACGTTTTCCATGTGTGAATTGAATGTATCTTACATATATATAACTTTCTGTGCTACATGAATAAATAGTAGTGTGGTTATGCGTCTAAATGGTGGACCAATTTCTGAGCAAAATATTGAGAATTTCAAGACCACCGGATAATGCCTGGATTCATGTCGCCTTTAGTAAGATCAAACAAAACTTGATTTCTGTCCTCTAAATTCTCCGGAAGAAGAACAGTGGGTTCTCTGTTTCATCCAGGTCGACATTGGTCCTACAAGCTAATCTTCTTCATTTCTCTCGGACGATGAACAAACACAGAACCGCCTCCTTTCTTTCTGTTAACGGTTCCGCTCTTGTTGTCGAAAAGCGACAAGTTGTGTCCCGTTATAGTGAACAGCGTGAAACACACTACATGTGGCTGAGAAAGTGTATCAGGAAATATCCATCGATTTGTGGTCTGGTAGACGTCCACCAATCATGACATCTGTCTGGTTGGATACATGGAGTGGTGAACGTAGATTGACTAGATGGTTTACATTTCTGTCCTACATTTGACAGTACCCTTAAAATTCATCATGGTTCAATCACGAACATCGGTTTTGTCTTCTATGCAAAAAAGCTGCATGTGAAAGTTTGTGGATTGAAGGGGAAGTATGTGAGCACCCCAAGAATGCTTCCAATGTGTACATGATCTAGAAGTCGAAGGAATCACTTTCGCTTTCGGTCGTTCGCTGATTGTACACACTCACCGTTCGCTTTCTGCACAGCCGTTGCGTTTCGTTTTCCGTTCGGTGTATCTCTCGTATCGGTACTGTTTCGGTGCCACGATATATAGAATACACCTCGCATCTGTAAACCGACTTGCGTCTTCTTTATTCGTCCGATAGAGGGGATAACGTTGGTATTCCGCTGCCAAACCCAATAGGAGACACGTTCACCAGCAGCTCTCGAACGTCTTCTATGGGCGCATAATGATCACTCTTGCATTTTCTAGTGAATTGCAAAAATAATTTTCACGGGCCAAATGGCGATCAACATTCCGGTCAATATAGCCATTGTTTGTTTCCAGAGATCGTTACTATACTGGAGAGCAAAATCTCCGGAATTGCTGATCTTTCATATGAATATTCCAATACACTAAGTAAACGAGTGCCGTCGATAAGGGTTCCGATCTGAATTGCTTATCATAAATGGCTGTTTAAATGAAACGCAGTTAAATTTTCACCGAGCTTCCCGCGTCAACATTGTCAGCTTGAATTTGTGACGGGACTTAAGGAGATATAGCCATGCAGGTTACCCCGGATGGACGAGTGTGATTTATGCATCAGGGTCGTCCTAGGCTTCTGATGTTATTCCTCGAATATAACTGTCAAATCCGTTAGCATTTGAAAGAGTAAGTGTAATGGCGCATCTTATATACGATACAAACCGAATCTCAATCGCTCTTGGAACAGTGTTCAACTTCTGATAAGTCACTGTGGATTTCCGCTGGTTTCCCCACAATCTATGAGAATTTTGTGCAGCTTTATGTCAACATTGAAGATCAGACATTGGAAAGATACTAGAATAAAATGATGCAGTGGTGGGCATTTCGAAGCAGTTTGTCGAAATGCTTGTCTCAAATTCTGGCGCGCTCAACGAATGCATTCAGACTCATGTTCGAGAATGTTTCTTCTCCTGTTGTCTAGCGACAAAAGCGACCAGAAAACGAAGGAATGGCAGATATGAGACTCCAGCAATTCGCAGTTCCTATTCAAGAGCTGCATTCACAAACGTCACTGTCATCGTGAAAGCTATGTGAAGGGAAACTCGTCAGAAAATGTCAACCAGCCTAATCTAAGGAACGGACTTGCGCAATTATCAACTTACTGTCTGTTGCCAATTTGGCCTCGACCGGCACATCCGTTTCCTTCAAATGCTTTTTCGCACCAAAGTTGATCAGGTCCGGATCTTGAGAACACAAGGCGAAAATAGTGGCATCAATCAATAATCTCAGTATCACTCAGACACGGAAAGCATTTTGAAATGAATTATGTATTACCAAAAACAACAATCACCCTAACAATGGTTACCTGTTTACGAAAGTTTAGGCAGTTCAATACCGGTGACGCACTGGTTAAATATTCACACCGATTTCACGTCTGATCAATGAGAAATTGAAATTTCCTATGAGATCCAATCACTGAAACTCATTTTCATGACTTGAATACAAATTATTTGGTAGTAAACTATGCCATCTTTTCCTGTTTTCAATTAGAATTGGTTTATTGGAGAGAAAATCGTGCTCTCGGTTAGCATTTCACAAGCACTCAGTTTTCCCGTTTTGCGACACTGCTCGCATCATTGTGATCAAGCAGTGATCAGGGAGTACAAGCCCATTTACCAACAAGCCAGAGATGCTAACTCCGAGACACTGTCCTGATCAGAATGACGTTGGTGATGGACAAAATGTGGTGTTCACAAGGATCTATACCCCACCGGATCTGATGGAGTTAAGTGTGGTTTCCCACTACAAATGTCACTTGTTCTTGCCATGTCTCACAGATGGCGAAGAGGGTCCGTGTGACAGTATGCTAGCTCTTCGGTTATCTTCGCGTTCAAGTGAACAGTGATTACAAATTACTCATGATATCCCATTTTATCGGACAGTTAATTGGTGGCTATGGTTTTGGGAAAATATTTGACCAACTCACCGTCATATATCCGCCACTCTTGGTTATTCGATTTCCCACTGTTACCTTTCTCTTGAACATTCGAAGGGGACGGTTCGCTGGTGAGTGCCACTGACCAAAGATTGTACAAGATTTCCAACACGATAATATGGACATGTTGATCGTGAGCAAAATCGGTTTTCAAAATGGAACACTCTCATTTTATCTCGGAATTTTGTAGTGTAGTGTAATAAGGTATCAGTCACCGGTGAAAACAACGAATGCTGTGTACGTCTGTTTCGTCGCCTAATAGTAGTGGCTATTATATGTCAGATGATAATCAGGTGGAATTTGAAAAAAACTAATTATTGTGCTTCGAAAACTAGCACAGTACTACGCCCATAAATTGCTGAGTTTTACATTTATCAAATAAATATTCACTGTACTCAACATTTACTACGATGATCTTTTAAGTGAAGAGGGTATAATACAAGGAGTTATTCATTGATAATGTAATACTATAAATGAAATAAATGACTCAGATCACCTAGCAAGATGTCATATGTGATGATTGCGGCTAAGAATGAAACGGTTGTACAGTGGTTCCGTGGATCTCAATGGAAAGTGGGGCGTTGATGCTAAAATAATAATCATAAGATATATTCACATACCACAGTAAATTCTCCTCATTGTGATTGCATGGAGGTGAATGCTCTCAAACAGCATATCTACGAAAAGTCATTTACACCACTTATCGGAAGCATACATCGCAGTATGTTTTCGGAGGACAATAAATAGCTAACGCACAACGATTTCACCATCGACCAAAAAGTATTCATTCATGTCATCAGTTGCTCGGTATCTTTACGGGACTATTCATTGATTCATATTTAGTCAGGCTCTCAATATGATCTACTCGACTTCAAATACCAAACTATAAAGCTGAATGGAGGCTTTATCAATCCACACAAATCAATCCAAACCGTGCAAACAAAGCAACATTGTGTGATAATTGTTGTGTGTTTATCCGACAGACGTTCGTATGTGTGAGTCATGTGATTGTGCCCTCGATTCCCAACATTTGGTTTGTCCATTTTGCAATTGAAATAATTGCATTGACTGCATTGTGCACTACGTAAGTGGGCGAGAAAGTTATCCCGAAAACACCGTATGATGTGTGTGCTGGAATTTTGCTTCAGAAATCGGTATGCTATCATCTCGATCATTTTACTCAACCTGAGTAAATATTGGAACTGTAAGCTAACAACTTCATCCACACAACTGGAAATCATTGGTCATCATACAATTTATCTGAAAATGTCTGGGCGTATTTTCATATCAGCATATTTATAGTGACTAGCTCACGAGCATCTCAATAATACGATCAATCACAGTGCAAATTCTCCATTTCTGCTATGTGCAATATTCCATCACTTTTCCTTTTCAACATGAAGCAGAGATGCAATGATATTCATGCTCACCATCACGTTCCGTCGACATGTGACCACCCACATGATCCATCGGATTATGTGTTAATCCTGAGTGGATTTGTTCTTCATTTGCCAGTCCCTCCGAACTGTGTGAGATCGCTTTGGAGAATTTTCATCAAAGGGATGGGAATAGATTGAGAACAGAATTAGTTCGGGTGTATCTTGTCGTGGTAAGCCGAACTTACAGCATACTATTTTGGTTGGGGATAAAGCAACAGCTAGTCAATAGGTTGTATGCAAATAGTTATCATGGATCTCAACAACTTTTGTCACTTGGTACTCTCTCTCCCTCTCATACGCGAACAAATCAATTCTGCAAACTCATCCGAAGTATAATTCATGCACCTGTTCCATTTACCCTTATTCCAATACCTCACTAGAATACCCATGTTCACTCTCTGTCATTTCTCCAGCACGATATCTTGATGGACGGATTTCATTCATTGTGTGAACCATGCAGTCTAGATTCAGTTATCAGACAATGCATTTCAAGAGACGTTGTTTAGATTGAAGTCATGTCGTAACGGGTTTTAATGAAGTGGGTCAGTTAAATGATGCTGTTCGTTGTGCGAGGTGATCAGTGAGGTGTGGTAGTCCGGAATTCCGTCAGTGCTCAGAGCTCTAATGACATGGAGAACTTGCTTGCAGAGAGAATTATAGACAAAGAAATGACTCCCACAATAACATTCTAACGGTGAGAAATCAGTGTGCGAACTTTGTGCAGCCTAACTTGGTAGGGAAGTCATGGGATAAAGACGATGACAAATGTGTTACCAATGAAATGGGAGCAGACTAAATGAGCAATGACTGCGCTATTGCTGGACCCGAGAGACCGGGATCAATGATTCCACAGAAAATCGGCTCGCAATAAATTCAGACCCCAATTCAGAATTTTAGGGACTTACGTAGATTTTTTTTACAAAAAATCGACGTGACGACTTGAGGGAATGCAAGCACTTCATTGATGAATAAATGCACAGTTATATGTCTGAAGAAGACGTCAAAGAAACACAAGTCCTAGTGGGATTTTCGTGGCATACGTAGAAATTAGACGAGGTTTTATTTCCGGTGAAATACGGTGATATCTTTGAGGGACTCTGGCAGTCGCCGGGATCGATTATAGAACGATTCCGTATCCCAATCGACTGTGCGGTCTTTAGGAATACTATCGGGTTAGGTATTTCTTGTTAACCAGTGTCCAACTTCAAAAATTTTCTACTTCTCTGGATTGAACAATTTAACAATTATTAGATAGTCAACCCACGTTGCTAACAACCAGTTCCGATCTGCTACTGTGTTTGACTATTTCGCCAGAATCTTTCCAAACCCACCACTTGACTGATTTATATAGTTCTTGGTTTTGTTTAAATATCCAAACCTTGTTGCAGCCATCTACGACAGTCAACTGCTATTTCTTCCTAAATGACCTAATGAATATGCCGCATAGCCACTGTGAGATGATGAACTGAATCGTATGGAATAACTAAGGATGTCGATAATGCTACCCTACTGCTCCTGTGTTGTTCCAATCCTCTTGGTTAAATAACAAAAATGGATTTATCCGTATTCGTGCAAACTCCTCTACTGAAATCAGTGCTCAATATGATTTATCAGATGGTATTTTGTAAGAAAAGCTTTTGAAGAAAACTTAGTCTGACTTTGTGTCAACCCACCGGACAACAGCTTTCTCGAAAATTGCAGGCATATTATGATGCCTAAATTCAATCTACCTCACTATCAACATTTCCTTATCATTCCGAATATAAGCTTACATGTTTTTAGTTCAGCTTCCACAGAAGTAAGCGAGATGAGTTGTTCCAACATCACCAAATGGGTATTCTTCCTGTTCTGAGCAGTGTTCCGAATATCCCTAAACTTTTGTCAATCCAGTGGTATCTTAGACTTAGATAGCCCAGATCACGGTGTGAGGGTGATGAGCATTGAAAGGCGGGCTTACGAAAAAACTCCTGAAAAATCACAATGGGGCCATAATTCACATACGACATGAAGGAACGCAGAATCATGAGGGCGCATTCGTAGAAATAGTGAAGGACAAAAGTGGTGGCGTATTCACGGATCATTTGAGGAACGTAATACCAAAGCTTAGTCATTCGCACAGAAAAAGCAATGAGAGCATGTTCGTGCGCCCAGGCGGCAATGCCCACTCAAGTGACGCAGAAATTATTGAGAAAACAACAGATTGTGTCAGGTAGGTCAATGTACCAGATCAGCATCCGGTAACAATAAAGGACGTATACTAGCGTGATAATCTGGTTCATCGGATAGTTCATCGTGTTGTTTGAAGGATGAGCAATGATCAAAAGGATAGTGATGGGAGAAAAGAAGGGTAAATAAGAGCTTTCGCTTCGCGTGACTAACAAATCCTGTCCTACCTGGTATACTTCGAGAACCACTCCGATTTGACACATTTTTGAAAGCCTCGTTTCCGTCTTGGAATGAGGGGCAAAATTAGAAACCTCATCACTGACGGAGGAAGCAAAAATTCATGGTACCACAAGAGAATTTGGCATGGAATCCAGAGATATCAAACAGGCACTGCACTTAGAGCTGGTGTTCAGTTCAGTTCAATTCAGTTCACTTCAGTTCACTTCACTCAGCAACCCCGCACTTATGTGCTCTCATTTCGGTTAGTTCATCCCAGCATCGTCGAGTTGATGAAAAGATGAATGGGAGATTATGGTCATGAAGAGCTGATACCAATGCAATCCGCCATATTCTCGAAAATAATAAGAGCTTTCGAATGCAATTGGGCCATTTTTCGAGACACAACCATATCGCTCAATGTCTCTAACACTCTGGTATGCGGATCTCGTGGACCCCAACCTCGTCCAGCGGCTGAAATCTTCACCCATTCACCCGTCTGATGTGGTCGCATCTTCGGCCTAATAAATCCATCTTGCATAGCTCTTGGTTCATTGAAGCACTCAAGCCATCGCATTATGCATTATGTAATTGACGAATTGTCGGCTACAAATAACTACAACTGTGTCAAGCTATCGACTAGCTATGCTCTAGACGCATCCGAATACCGTCGATTTCATGTCACGCAAGGATATGCAGACTGTTCTATTTTGGATACAATGTGTTTGAAGCTCAGAGTCTCAAAAGCTGGGTGGAGCACTTCAAGACACAGGTTAGCCTCTCCAATTATTGTACAGGTAAAATCGATTGAGATGCATTGAAAGTTTTGTCAACGCATAGTCGGGTTTTAGTGCTTGAACGTCGCCACATTAGATCATCAGTGGACAATTAGGATGTTGAAACTTTGCTCTCATTTAGGTGAACTCTACTCGGTGATATGGGTGATTGAATGTGTGTGATATATATGATAAAATGTAGGCTAAGAATTACGGGGTATGCAAATACAAATAAATTGCACAATAGATTCACCTTCAAAATGGGTTTCCGCAGTGACCGTGCCAACCGTGGTACTATAGGTTTTATCCTAAGAACACCCAAACTGCTTGTGTTGATCAAACTTCCCAGCTTATACAAAACGTTTCAAAAGCAGATTCGCGAAGAGCAGACTGTGTTTCACTCCGGTCATGGATGCATCGATCAAATCCACACAATCGAAAGGCTGTTAGAACACCACCATACTTTTCAAAGACAGCCGACCATCATGCTCCTAGACATTCAAGCGGCCCTCAAATCTGTAGACATTATGGCAATTTAGGAAATTCTTTTAGATAGTGAGTAAGCGAAGAGCATGGATCAATCCTCAAGAAGTTGTATCCCCTCAAAGAAGATCAAGTTAGGGCCCACGACCAGCCTTTAACCTCTCTAGTTTTCAATTGAGTTGTAGGAGATTAGATATTGTATATGATATGATTCATCTTGCAGCTTGAACGATCAACTCACCATTGAAATCCATGGAAGCACTGTACAGCTGTTTCAACCTTGTTGGGAATCATCAGCAATACACATCCACCGAGCCCCCACGGGGACTCGAACCCGTGGTGAACGATTGTGAATCGAACACCTTAACCACAAGACTATCCGGGCTGGCTCTCAGCGGTTTGTGGAACATCTACATTACATGATATAGCACCCTTCCGTCACTGGCTTTGAACGGTACCAACCCGCCTCCCACACAGCGATCGACTCCTATGATGGATGACTTCTCTGTAGGGGCCTAAGTACAACGAAGGCATTCCGTTATGAACAACCTACAGAGCTTGGTTACTATTTGCAATTGAGTAGTAGGAGATTAGATTTTGTATATGATATGATTCATCATGCAGCTTCAACGCTCAAATCACCATTGAAATCCATGGAAGCACTGTACAGCGATTTCATCTTTGTTGGGACCCATCAGCAGTGCACATTATAATTCATCATGCAAATGCAACGCTAAACTCACCGTTGAAAACCATGGAAGCACTGTAACGTGGGGGCTTGGTGGATGTGCACTGCTGATGAGTCCCGACAAGGATGAAACAGCTGTACAGTGCTTTCTTCGTTTTCAATGGTGAGTTGAGCGTTGAAGCTGCATGATGTATCATGTTATACAAATATAATATCCTACTACTCAATTGCAAACACGATTGATGTTGGTATATTTTGAAACAATCCTGCAAATTTCGCGATAAATCACTTCATTTGTAGATTGATCAGTTCACTTGCATCCATTTGTGAACTTCCATTAGATCACCACTACAAAGTACCACTTACAAATATCAGGCTGCTTAGCAATACGGTATCAAGATAAATTGATATCAATCACTGACTGACGTATACATTCTGAATTCACGGTGAAATGAGAAAGTTGCACTGATATCGATTTGACTAGTTCCATTAAATATCCACAAACAACTCCACACTTACTACTAGGACGAATCTGAGAGTCATCTTATGTGGCTATTTTATATTTTAACTATTCAGCCACTTTTAAAATTAAAAAAATCATCTTGCACTACTTCTTCTATTCATAGTATCACGAATTACACTATTTGTGGATAGAAACTTTGACCAATTCATGACCATCGAATGTGAATTAGTCAGGTGCAG